CCGGGATGTAGCCGATCATTCTCGGGTCTATTCTCCTCCTCTGACTGCTATCCGTGCACTCTCTTGTCAATTGGCGTGCATGGAATTCGGAAGACTTGTGTCGAAAACGTGCAACTGATATCACTCGCCAGGATTCCGGAGTGTTTTCTGATGCGAGTTCCATGCGTCTGACTATGCCCTGTTTCGAGCTGAGCCTCGGCTCCTCTTCGGTACTCAGATCCGTAGCGATTGCCATGAGGAACGGTCCACGGCCGATCCCAGAATCGCCGACGGAGACCTCGACGCTCCGAAAAGTTTCTCATTCCCCCTAAGGTTTGCTCTCTTGGTCGTTGCTAGGACCTGGGATCTGCGTCCCCTCTCGGTCATCAAATTTGCCCCTCTGCTCGTGGAGTTGTGTCCTTCTAAGGGACGCGTGGTGAACTTGGTCGAGTCGGCTCCTCCTGTGCACTGAACCTGAACCGATCAAACTTTCGAGGGGATGATCGATACGACGCCTGGGAGTCATCGGATAGATATTTCCGTCTTAGAGCCCATCATTGACCAGTTAGTCTTGGTCGGGATCAAGACCGGGTCGACTGACAGGCCGAAAGGGAGCTGTCCGACGTATATCCGCAGGCGAATGCGGCATATCCGGGGGGAACGCCTACCCCCGCTCGAGCGACGTCCCTCCATGATGTGGAGTCGCTGGGTGGAAAGCACGTCCTGCGTTTTCAGAGCCGTGCGCGCCATCCGTTTGACGATTTCGTCGGTGTACCGCGTGCCATTGCGAATCTTGGCACGACCTCCCGAGCTTGCGCTTCTCGATTCACGTACCGGAATATCCTTCCTAACGGATGAGCTCATGCTCGAATGTGGCTGTCGCGAACAAACCTTGACGTTGCGGCAGGCCGAAAAAGAAGGCAGAAGGCCGCAGAGGGACGGGGTTGGGGTCGAGCGCTGTCCTCTACTGGAACCTCACGTCTCGCATATCCACGTTAAGTGCGAAAATTCAGCTCTCCTCGGATGTTTCAACTCCACTGCGAGGGAGGGGGGTGAGGTCGGGGTCCTACCTCTTCTCTTGGGAGGGGGGAAGGAACTTTGAACAGGGAAAGTATGAGACCTCTCTTATCGTTTCCGAGAGATTCCGCTCGCCTCGGACCTCAGAGGGTCCGCAGCCAGATCCGATGCCCGTTTGTCCTGCAGGATATCTCGCGCTCATTCTGCTTTCCTTGGCCCGACCCGTTCTCACGGGCTCCTGCAGTGGAATTCCTTGACTGACATTCCGCGAGATTCCCGATAGCTATGGATCGGGGATGAAATTGAATAGAATTCGGCAGACTGACCATCCACTCCGGTGACGCTCAGGGATCGCCTGGTGTTGATCAAGCAGTCAGAAGACAAACCCTCATGGAAGACCAAGCGGAAAGCCCCCTTCACAATGATGAAGATACGGCGGTCTTCCTCACAACGACCACAGCGGCTATGATGAGGTTGGTCGTCGCCTCGAGACTTCATCACAATCAGGCATCCATTACGGCATCGCTGACGTTTTACGAGGCGTTTCCCTATCTCCCTCCCCCCGTTCCCCCGCGAACTCAAGGCGCCTCTCTCAGTATCATTCGTCGGCACGTCTCCTGGAGCAAAAGCAGGGGATATCTTCGGGGAATTCGATTTCTCGCATAAGCACCCCGATCGGAGACGGTAATGTGCGCCTTAAGAACAGAACGATTTCAGAACTTGCATCCTTGCTGCCCCTTGTTCGGTGATATATATCGGAAGGGACCATCCGCGTAGAAATGTGTTGGGCAAGCTTGCGGGCACGACACTATCAATCGTTAGTCCCGACAAAGTGATCCGAGGTCTCCCTGTTCAATAAATTGCCACCGAGCGACAAACTGAATTGATATGTCTCGTTCCGACAGACAGCTGTCGTTCTTGCCACGAATCAACCGGAATTTAGGGTCTCGCGTGAGCGAAATTGCGCTGGACCTCACCGTCGTCCACCCGCACCGAATCATTCGGACCTCGACGCAAGACCATGAAAAGGGAGAGTCATGCTAGATATGATACCCCGTGTGCTGATCATTCGTATCGACGAAATTAGCTGTTTTATCGACACGCTCGTACACTCGCTGAATTCTAAACAAAAATTCAATCAATTCGCTGTCGATCCTCGATCACGTCCCGCTACTGCCCGCGAGTGATCGTGATAGCTTCGTTCGGCGGGGCGCTCGCAATCAGGAATCGATCATCGAAATGAGCGACGTGTCGAAAGCAAGAGTTGCAAGGGCGAGGTCCTCATTCGATCACGAATACTCAAGCCGGGGGTCGATAGTCCACGAAGTGCCCGATGCACCAATGGAGACCCCACCAAAAATGCCCACGACTGACTGAGTAACCGACCGGCAGCTCTTTCGAACGCTCGATTCAAGGTCAAGGACCGCGGAATATTGAAATTTGACCTTGGAATGACCTCCGCGCCACTTGCGGATTTGATGTATCACCGTTGATCACAATTCCGGCGTTCGTATGAGCCCGTGATCGTTCGTCTGTGGCGCCGGTTCTCGTCGCTCGTGCGATCGCCTACGCCGATCTTTTTCCGATGTGCAGAATATTGCCCCTCTAATCAGGCCCATCCGGCCGTCCGGTCCCATCAAAGAAGACAAGCCTTCCGCCCCGCTCGGGGGCTGAGGGGGGAGGGGGGAAATAGCCTCCAGATTACTCCCTCTCGTCTGAATGGGAACATCTCCATGAGTTCGTTCCCTAGTCAAGCGTGATACGCCCTCACAGATTTATGATTTCCTCGGCTCCCATTCCGGTTTCTGGAACACTCTCTCCTAGCGTTGGGCCCGATATTTCACGAATGGTAAGTCGATGACCGATGGGTCTAAACGATTTTGAAAAGAAACAGCGAGAGTTTTGAATCTGAATAGTCCCTGGTGTTCCCCGTCCCGTACTCTACGGTTGTTTCTTCCTTCCCTCGGTATAAACTCTTTGGTCGCCACTCTTGACGACGGCGACGCCTACGCTACCGGCAGGACGTAACTTGAATTATTAACGCTGCGAGCCCCTGAATCTCCTGAAGAGTCCTGCAACACATCATCTCTCACGTTCCCTCTACTTCTTACAGGGTCTCTTCTCGGTATCTTTTTCTCGACATGGCCGAAGTCGACATTTTCCCTCTGGCAGCTGGACGCTTTCCAGACGCTTCCCGCTCACAGCTCAGCGTAGACGAGAGCTCTCCGCGGCAGACTTCGGTCCTCGAATGCAGATTCTCGCCCTCCGTGTTTGGGCTTATTCCTTCTGGATAGAGGCTCCAGAAGGAACGAAGCAATGCAAATCTCTCCTTCTCGAGGATAATGCGAGCCATATGTAGAGAGGATCAGATCCGCCAGTGGAACAGGGAAGAGGTCCCTCGTAATGACGCTTACGAATGCACAAGTTCATGATTCCCTTGAATTCCTTGGGATTTTTTTCGCTCGGCCGATAGCCTCCTCGAGGACCGTGCTCCACTACTCACAGACTCGACGGAAACTCTCTTACGACGCCAGCTGTGCGCTTGTCTCGCGCCGTCTCCCCATGCGTGGTATGTACATATATGAAAACCGATGCCGCAAGGGGTATAAATATTTCGTCACGGGTCGCAAGCGCTCAACACATCGGAGCCGCAGATGTCGGTCTCGTTTCGCGATTTTTCGCTTAGGAGTCCGTCTGCGTTCCCAAATCCATCTGAGTTCGAGGAGGGAGCACCGGAGCGTGCGGATTCCTCTCTCAGTGCGTGGCGAGCTTCGTGAGGGGCTCTAATCGCTGATGAATAGGAAAAGCTCTGAAGTTGGCTCTGGACGTGAATATCAGCTGTGGGAATACTTCCGGCAGCGGTGCAAGCTCCGAAACATAGCCCACTCGCATGGCCCAAACATCGATACGTACGACTTGCGTCGTAAACAAGCTCTTCGACTGTCTGAGATAACATCGGTCTTACGGCATCCGCTTCCCAGAGCGTTTTGGCGGCGCAGAATGCTGACACAGGAGAACTCGGGAGAACAAAGAGGTCGCGCGTCCTTCAAGCGGTTTCCGGGGAACAATATCGCCAAAAGTTGGCCCGAAAGCTTGTGAGAATAGTTTGCGCGACCCAAGCTCCGCCTCCGTCAAAAGCGGAGGAGGGCTGCTCCGACAGTTTCACCGAGAAGGAAGAATCCAATATTTATTTTGAATGTCGAGCTCTGATTTGATTCCCGGACTCACCAGGGTGTGAATCCTGTCGGTGAATCGTCTCTTTGATTGCAGATTCCTTTTCCATTGTCTGACTCCCGGGTGGCCCCAGCAGGCTTTGATCTCTCGCTCCAAACGCACGGCGCGGCATGATCGATCCATCGAGCTCTGACTCCTCGTTCCGTGCGATCACGGGCTTTTCATGGCCCGATATCTTCCGTTTACGCGGATACGCATGTCTACCGCTATTCACCGATTCATGGCTCGGTATGCCGCGGATCAACAGATGAAAACAAACCCGCTGCGGCACGCGCCGTTTCCAAAGCGGGGTCCTGTCGATATGTCCCAGGAGGAGTCCAGGTTTCGGGAATCCAAACAAGAGGAAGAGCTACCTGAACGGTACACCGAGTTCGCTGATGACTTGCATGAGCATACAGCGTTAAAAATTCAACTGATCGACATCGCTATCAAATGGATGTCCCCCGCAATCCAGCCACGGACCGACCGGCGGCGCTATGTACACAGAGGTACGCGTCTCGTTATATCGCCCAACAGTCTGGCTCATTTTGGGCAGCGGATCATTTCGAATCTAGATCACTAATCTTCGCAGCTGGGAAACGGTCTTTTGCGCCGAGAGGCATGATTGAGATGACGTCTATCGGAGCGGAGCTTATCAGTTCCTTCCACCGTTCCGCCTCGGGCTACGATCAGCGGAGCTCGCTGCCGAGGATTGTGACTTTGATCTGTGGTCGTTATATATTTTCTTTCCTCGATCGCAGAAGTCTCTCCGGAAATGTTCATCGACTGACCTGGAAGGATGAGGAGCAACAAAGCCCAGTAGACCTTCTCTTCATCTTGGGCTATAGTTGTTGTGCCATCTATCCAGAGCGTATCGTTCAGGGTACGATTGAAGCCCCCGAGGTCTTCGTAATCCAGTTGCAGACTGGAGTTCAGGCTGTCCTGGCCGCCGTATTCGCCTTGCTGGAAAAGAGAGATATCTCAGCTTAGAAATCAGCGTTTTCGTTCCTTGTCTATTCTGAGCTTTGTCTCTCCACTCCTGGGAATTCCATCCTACTCCTGAACGCATCGCTCCGTGAAAATCAGGACCCTGTCGCTGGGATCGCCGCTAAAAATCTTCGCGGTCCCGCCATAGAAGTTCCTCGAGCCTCCGGATGACTCATGTCCCATGGTGGATTCGGATCGTAAGTTCACCAAGCTCCACGAGACAAGCTCCCATCGACAACGGAGACTTTTGCGGGAATCCTTTGTTAGAGAAGAGTTCTTGCCCGATGCCCTTCGGGAACTTTCCTCTCCAGTTCTGCGGCCGGTCTTTCTCGGAGCTGCGCTTTTTGTCACTCGACTGAATGAATGGCCTTCGCTGTAACAACTTTCAATTTGGAACTCTTCCGACAAATCCTGTGTGTTCGAATTTCAATGGTTCCCTAACACCTTGTTCAGAGGGAAGAAAGCGGGTTGCGGAGCAGGTCTTCGGTAGTCGGCTTTCTCCGTCTCTTTTTCCTTCCCCCCCCCATCTGCCCGTCCACGACGACGGCGACCGCAATAACGCATTGCGTCCGTCGCAACAAAATCCTTGCGACGAATGTTCGCGTCGAGCAGAGTAAGTGACGTGGGAAACAGGAGCGATGGGGTCGCAGTACAGACGGCGAACTACGACAAGTGGGAACTCGTGAGCTCTGGGGGAACTTGGCGCTAGCACGGAGACGAGCGTCATTTTAAGATCCGAAAGGGAACTGGGGAAGAATGTGAAGAGTTCGCTGACCATTCTCTTTTTACGCGCGATTAAGGGGGAACTCAAAAATGACCGCACCGTTCGCCTGCAGAGCCATCGGCCTCAGAGACAATGACTGGTGAGAACGTGGTATAAAGTGCGACCATAATTTTCCCGTTCACCGGGAGCGTACTCCGCGCTCTTCCGAGCGTCGTTCGTCCGTGTCGCGCGGGATGGAAATTGGGAGAGTGTCTTCATAAGGTCAGCGAGGTCACTGGAGGAGCGAGAGATCGAGGAAGATTCCCTAGAGCAGAAATGAAGTAGAAGAGTCACGCAGTCAACGTGGAATAGATCACAAGGCTCGTGGAATTACAGTATGAGTCTCACTCAGTGGAGCTCCGTCCTGAGAGTGGGAGCGAGCAGAATTTCCCTACACTCGAACAGGGTTCAATGGATAGTCGTTTCCTATTAAGGCAGGCTTCATATTCTATGTTCTGAATCCAACGTCGCGGGGGCCTTCGGCATCGCTCTGACGTGGGATTGCGGTCGGACGATCTGTGGAATCTGGTGACACGACTGTCAAAGTTCCTCCTGTAATTTGATTCCGCCAGCCAGTCGAGTCGTATACTTTGCCGGTCGCTCCCCCGGTGTTTTTTCCCCATTGAGATAATTCGATCGAGTGGATGCGGCCGCTTTGACATCCGGGGATGAATATCTCTTCTGAACGGAACGCGAGTTCAGGGCCGGCTATATGTAGATTAGAAAATGGGTCGTACTCAGCGCACCCCTGGGGCTCATTCCGCTGTTGATCCCAAGTCAAGTGCGCAACGTGCCTGTTCGACCAGTTCGAACGTGGCTGATTGGATTATGCGCTATCATCGGCGTCGGGATAGAATCTATCCTCTGAGTCAGCAAAAAGATCACGATTTCGCCACTGGGATCGAGCCCCTGAAGCGCTCGCAACTCGTCAATCCAATTTCCAGTCAGACTGAGCACACGCCCAGCCTGATTGAAGTCCGAGAGAATAGATACCTAATCATTTTTCAAAAACACGCGGAGAGAACATACATCTGATTGTGAGCCATCCACCGATCCAGCTCGACACATGCTCCCTATCCGGGGACCGGGGCTCCGAAAAAGATTTCAAATGCCGAAACTTCAGTCGCTCCTCAACTCAGACTGAGATGGGTGCGTTGATGAATTAAAGGTGGAGAGGTTTTGCGTTACAAGTCGGACAGTCTCTCAATTGCGCCCGGCCTCTACACGGGTTCTTGACGTCCCCCGGAGGGAGAACGGGGAAGTGGGGAAGAGAGAGGGCCCTTGAGAGTTTGACTCAGAAGGGGAACGAAGGGAAATATTTAAACAGGCAGAGCTCAGTGAGTGATTATCGGGCCATAATTGTGCGCTCTCGACTACTCGCAGACGTCACGTACGCGTTATGACTTTCTCCCTCTGTATCGTCCTTTCTAACGACCTCTCGAGCAGAGATTGCTTTGCGGTTGCATGGGAGCTCTCCGACGAAATTCGCTGATTGGTCGTTGAGCTCCGGGCAGGATTCAGAATTGATTTTGTTTTTCACTCCGTCTGACCCCCATCATGAAAGTTCCGCAGTGGGTCAATGCATATTCGGGCTCGTGAAAGACGTATAGTTCGCCGGCTTGTGATTTTCTCGCTGGCCACGAGTCATCTTGAACACTCACCATGCGTCGCGAGAAGTTTCGGCGCATCGCTCTCTGTCACTCGACATCCCACGACTGGCCGGAAGTCTGCCCAAAAGTCGCATAAATTCCAAGAATGAATCGTCGAGTTGTATCCGAATAAAAACCCCATTTGTCAACGGTATTCACGATGCGACCGACATGAGGAAAATTTGGCGATTTATTTCATGGAATACTCGAGTTTCCCTCCTCGAGGTTCCCTGGGCGGCCATGGCATGTCTCAAGCTTGCTCTTGAGCTTATCCCGCGAAGTTTCCTCGGGTCTCGGACTGAAGAATTTACGTCGTTCGTTCTTGAGATTAACGCGGAAGAATTCAATCTTGCGACAGGCAAGATCAATATGCGGAATCCACTCATGCGTCCGAAATTGCAGCGCAATAAGCGAGATCGAGCGAGAACTTGTGTTCATGGGCGACGGTCCGCAGAATGCTACCTCATATTATTTCTTTACGCGATCAATGTTTTCCAGGTGTTCGCTGTTCGGTACTGTTCAGGAAACCCGAGCGTGACAGCTCATGCTGTATCGAGTATCGCAACGCATGCGTCAAGATTAGGGTGTCCCCGACTGAGCGTTTGATTGGGGGTGCGTTGTTCGGGATCGCTACTCCCAGTTCGTTTCCAACCGGCTCAGGAATTCGTGCATCCGAGTCAAGAGACAGACAAGCAAGCAGTCAAGCGACCAACAGGGCTCAAGTTCAGAGAGAGGATTTTGTTTGCGTTTGTCAACTAACGTCTCCATCCGCTCCGAGTAGCTACTTGTGAAGCGAGAGCTCGAACAGCATTCCTCTCCCACGCCCCCTCTTCCCTCGCCCCGCTTATATATGCGCTCATCCGCTTCACTGCGATCCCGCATAAGACGAAGCAGATATGGTAAACGCTGAGTCAATATTGTCTCCCTGTACCGAACTCCGAAAAAACATCGCTGCCGTCAGCCTGTGCTGTGTGTCCTCTGCTTTCAGTCAAGCTCGGGATATGTTGGAGTCTGTTGCTCGATTCGGCCCGATTCAGGGAAGGAACCCACCGAGTACGTAGGACGAGCCTCCTGCATTAATGGCTTCGTTCCGTAGATCTCGTCGAATTTAGGTACGGTTTTTCAATCCCCGAACAGAAGTATAGCGAGCCGTATTTTCAGTCATAGCAGAATTCTCATAAATATCTGATGAGCAACTTCTCAAGTTTTGGAACTTTTCAGGTCGGAGTACTCCGAATCGGAAGTTTTCGGATCGAGTGCAGGCAACGTAACGTCACAGCGGAGGAGGAAAACGACTGCAGTCGTAAACCCCCAGGACTTTATTAAAAAGCTCAACTTTGAAATTTTGAACTCCGAGAAACTTCAAGGCAAGAGCACCGTAGTCCCGCCGAAAACTATATCTTAGATAAAGACGAATCTCACTCTTTGGAGAGAGACATCCCGTCCAGCCAGTCTCCGAAACTCTGCTGTGCCAACTCCGAATTTCCCGGAGGCGATCAAACGTTTCTAGAAGGTTTCCCCTCGGTTTCCATAATTATTTGATCACTCATGAATTGATGATTAGGTATTGTAATAGTTTCATCTTCTTCTACTCACCGGAACATCTCCGCGCATGTTGATTTTAAATTGAGACGTGGCTGTTGCTCGATAAGTGATCGTCGACAGATTCGAAGCTCTGGACCGCTAAGACCAAGGGTACCGAGGAGTCGACAGCTCGAGTTTGGCCCACCGGCGGGAGAACGTTCATGTTTTTGGCGAATCTGTAAGGAAGAAGACGTGAAATCGTCAAATGACGCCGCTAGCCTTGTCTCTATCTGGTCCAACACCACAGTGCTTTCCGACCGAATCAGCTTGATCCCCGGGCTACTTCCTGTAAGAAAGAAAAAAAACACCACGAAACGACCGGGAAGGATCAACAGCTTGAGCGACGACCGATTCGGCGAGCTCAGGAAGGAGTAAACAGACCGGTACCGCTTCCCGAACAAGCCGAAACAGTACTTTAATCACGGCGCAACAGATGGTTTCGCGCAATGAAGCTTAAACTCTCTATCCGCGCGGCCGGGTATCCTCGCTCATAGATCAGCGCGACAGGTATCGGTCGCAGCCGGCAGAATTCCGACCCCCTCGACTTTCTTATTCTTGAGTTCCTCCTCGGCCGATCTATCAGAAGACAGGTTCTACCATGGCTCATTGATTCGGGCGGCTGTCTCTTCGTGATAAATTTTCGATTGTTTATAAAATCATCGAATTTTAAACAACACGTCGTTGAGACGCTCGTTGTTAGATTTACGATTCCGGAGCAAATCCCTCATGAAATATTAGCTTCCGACGAAAGCCTTCTCCCGCATGTGTTATTCTCGGGTTCGCATTCCGAGCGCACCATCGAGCCCGTATTCCGGTTCTGAATTCGAGCGAATCGAATGATTTGACGTCATGCTTATCATTGGCATCGCCGCCTCCATCATCGACGACGGTCGTGTTCGACTTGTGCGCCCAACCTTTGGGATCGCTCCAGTTAAACGAATTACGTTCTCAGCCGATCGTTTACTCGCTCGCTCGTCCTGTTCCTCCGTGGGGACCCTGTCCGCTGCAATGTACGGATGGATCGCACTCCCGATAGCACGACAGCCAGAGTACAGGCTGGGTACAGAAAAAGATTCCATTGGCCTCAGTGAGCCCTCCAGCCGATGAGTAGCTTCTCATTCGGAGCGATCGGACTCCATGCCTTGCTTCAAGCTCCCGGAGGACACGAGGCATTCCTGAATCCTGTCAATAATTCCGGAATAATGTCGTTCCGACATTCTATTTCCATGCAGATTAAGCCTAGTCAATGAGGATGGACGCAGGAATGTGAAGCAGCGAGGTTTTCTGGACAGTCGGCACACACCGGACAGATAGGAATCAGGCAAATGCGCGATCGAACGGATGGACCCAAAGGAGGGAAGGTCAGCAAAGGATTATCTCTTGAGCTCCGAAAAGCGAATTTCCGGATTACTCCGCATGGAATAGGAGCTCTCGAGTTGACGGGAGTAGGTACGTAAGAATATCCAGCCGGTCAGACAAATCCCTCCTTGTTGACAATGTGCCGGCTCCTGTTTCTCGTTCGGGCGTCTGTCTGGAATTCTGAAGACAAACTTGTCAAAGCCCGGCAGAAACCCGACGCAAGCCCCACGAGATCCGATCCGCACACAAGAATTTCGAAGCACAGTATATAGAAAGAAAAACGGGGATCCTTCGCGGAATGACGGCGGGGATTGGCGAGAATAGCACCCGCTGATCGAACGAGCGGCGAACACATCAGAATGAGCACCATCCGGAAGGAATTAGAAGGGACTTCTCGCCGTGCTTCGTAATTTGCGGAACGGAAGGCGACGATGATAACGAATTGTTTTGCAATTCCGAAATAGTTGACGCTCCACGCAATCGAACGCGTTCGGCAAGGACGAGCTTGTCTGCATGACACGCTCGGGATCGGATGAATTCGAAACACGTTGGAACCGAAAGCCCTCGCAACTACCTAATTTAGCATCCGCTCGGAGAGGCGAATGCCCCCAGCAAGCCACCAGTCAGAGGTCCGGAGCGCAGAGTCGATCCGGAACTCGAGCCCGTCGAGCCTGACTAGACGCGATAGCCAACAGAAGCGAAAAGCCCGGTTCGCAAAGCTTCCAGGCGGGCGAGTTGCCGATTCTGCTCCCTCTAAAATAGACCAGCTCGTTTTGAGCAAGTTCTTCGGCATCGTCGAGTCGATTCCGCCGGTTTTGTCCCTTGGGCGCAATTGTCGTCGCAGATAACATGTTCACATACAGCGGCCGTATTGTATCTCGGGCCCGGAAAACGATATTTACCCGAGTCGAAAAATAGGAAGCGAAGAGACTTCACTTCAAATTGAGCCCGACTCATCCAGAGAGGACAGAATGCTTTCCCGCACAGACGGGAGATAGCTGATTTGGTCGAGGAATTCGCAGATACGACTGAGCCAGCCCTTGGGGCTTGTTCAAAAGTTACGACTTCGCTCTCCGGATGGAAGAGAAGTTCATCGATGCTTTCTTCGGAATCTATATTGAATCCAGTCCGAGGCAAAGCGGTGAACCCGAGCAAATACTCCCAGATGCCCTCAAACTACTCCCAAATACCCCGAATTCTCCTAGATACCCCAAATACCTTGATCGAGGCGGGCGGGATCAAATAAGTCCTCGGCAAGAAAAACTGATTGGTTCGGAGTAAACGAAATCCGGATCTCGCGGGGAGAACGGCGACATTAGAAATGCGACCAAGCCGAAGCGTATATCGATCGATCTATGGAAACATCGAGGCGTCAACACTCACGAACAACCTTCAAAAACGGAATTGGGGCAGAGGACTCTCATCTTCGTTTCCTTTCAGCACTCCACCGCCTCTCCAGCGCTCGCTTCGAGTGGCAACGCAAGCCTCCAACGCAGAACACTCTGTACCGGAAACATGCAATATCAAGTATCAGCGCATTCTCTGAACACAGCAGCGGTGCTGCTACAAACGAAGTGAAGTTCGGATCATCGTCGACTTCTAATTGAATAGCGCCGTCCGACCACCCACTGTCTGTCACGGGGCCGGTTTCTGTAGACGGCCCGAAGCGACGTAAAGCTTGTCGTCTAAAGCCGTGTCCCGGTGAACTCAACGGGGCGCATATGTTATATGCGTTGTGATCGCTGTCCCAACCTCTTCTTCTTTTCCGCCTAGTTCCGCTTCTCGGAACATCGGCTCCACTCCGAAAAGCAGCGGCATTAAAAACTTTCGCCGGTGTTCACTTCGGAGACTCGACGAAAGCCTTCCTGTCTGCCGACTATTGACCGCCTGTCCTTTTAACCATCCGTCTATCCGCTCGTCCAGACGACTGACCGACCAAGTGAGCGACATTCGAGCCCGGCCGACCATTCGAGCTGATTTAGGGCTGTCAGACTCCATCAGCCGTTTGTTCGGATTCATCGACCCCCTCCGTGCCTGTTGTGATGTTCCATGTCACGTGACAAGCTACGCGAGAGCAGCGAGCGGGCCATTTCAAGTGTGAGCCGCGATGTTCGCGAGTCTTTTCACGCAACAATGGGTCCGCGGCTCAAAAAATACCCCGAGTCTCTCACATCGCGATTTGAGGCATGATCAGGCTTGACCACGAATGAATGGGTTCATTGGAATAATTTTGCGGCAACGAAACATTACCAAAACCTCGGATGAGCGTTCTCGATTCGCTCGCCGTGGGATCGCATCATTCGTTCACCGAATTCTCTCCCGCGCATCGGAATCTCGAGATTTCCCCAGCTCTTCGCATATATAGCCATGTGTGTATCTTCGGACTTTCTTGATCGTCAGATCGGTCTATACGTCTCGAATCGAAGCTCGTGCTCAGTGACCGGAGCTCAACTGGCCGAGTCAATGAGCTGCCGAGATTAGGCGTATCCTTTCCGTGGATTCGATTGATCGACGCTCGCGAGACCCATGAGCGCACCTCGAGACTTCGAACGACGGGAAGTTTTTGATCCGGAGCATTAGGGTCATCCTTCGAGGGACCAGAGTACTTTGGAGCAATCTCCGAACGGGGCTCGGGTGGGATCAAACTCCGAAGCCCTAGTCCGACCGGCGGCTGAATGTGGACCCTTGCTAAAATCATCTAGGTCGGCAAATTCGGATTCACTAGCTCCGCTCAATCGGCGGTCATTTAGAATCCGAGTGGTCGATGTGTTGTGTACGGAAACACTAAGATTTCCCTCTGGTCCAGCGTGTCGGGACCTATGCGGCGCGATGTCGATAGGGAAGCAGCGCGTGGCGCACTTTACGCGGGAATGAATCGAAAAGGACCAGTGGTACATGGAACTACCAGGAGATCTCGCGTCCGATTAATTATTAGATTCTGACATTAGTGCCGAGCATTGCGCTCCCGAAGCTGTCGACAGAGCCGCAGCTAAATCCAAACCCATCACACGTCCCTCTATTGAGAATCGTTCTCATGTCTGGGTCGGAGCCGCTCCTTAGCCCCTCTCCATCGAGGACTCTATTCGAAACACTGCTGATCGTCTCATCGCTGATACAACCCTGGTTTCTTTCGAGTATCATCATCGCGACGTAACATGACCGACCCCTGTCTATTTTCTCGGTACTCCCATGGAGAATTCTCTGTGCCGAAATTTCTTCCTCAGTATCTCCCATCTCTGAGCTCACTCGTGTCAACAGAGAAAAATGTCAAGCAACACCCCTACTCGATTCAACTTTCGACCAATCGTGCTGCTCAGTCCAACTCAATTTTTATCCCCGCACATCCCGTCGATGGAATGCTCACCCGTTGTCATGTCGTCCCCTCTACGTATGATCCCGAACTCTTCAAATCCAACACTGTTCGCTCTCTTCTTCCTTGAAAGAGCCTTGGGTTTTTGAAGCGAGTATTATTTACCTACATGAGACCCATACTCCAGTCGAATTTTCTCACACTTCTGGATTGTGCGTCACTGCGATTTTCCCTTAGTGCTCTAGTACGTCTCCCTCAATTTTTCCTGAGTTTCTCTCTCGTTCGCACTCACAGTTCCTTCCGTGAATTTTAGGGCCACCCTTTGCGAGCCGCTCTGCGAAAGGAAAAAACTTCTGATCCG